CACTTTCTTTCACCCATCTCAGATTCCCTGTCCTGTTTTTTAAAAAAGATTTTATTTTTTAAAAATTAAAAAGAAATTTAACGTTTATTCATTTTTGATAGAGACAGAGTGCGAACAGGAGAGGGGCAGAGAGAGAGGGAGATACAGAATGTGAAGCAGGCTCCAGTCTCTGAGCTGTCAGCACAGAGACCAACACAGGGCTCGAACCCACAAACCGCAAGATCATGACCTGAGCCGAAGTCAGATGCTTAACCTACTGAGCCACCCAGGCTGCCCTTTAAACATTTTTTTTTTAATGTTTTATTTATTTTTGGGAGAGAGATAGTGCGAATGGGGCAGGGGCAGAGAGAGAGGGAGACACAGAATCTGAAGCAGGCTCCAGGCTCTGAGCTATCAGCACAGGGCCCGATGTGGGGCTTGAACCCATGACCTGTGGTATCATGATTTGAGTTGAAGTTGGAACTTAACTGACTGAGCCACCCAGGTGCTCCTAAAGATTGTATTTTTTAAAAAATAATCTCTACACCCAACATAGGGCTGAACTTACAACCCTGAGATCAAGAGTTGGATCTTCTCTCTACTGGCTGAACCAGCAGACATCCCTCCCTGTCCCTTTTTATCCCTCCTTGCTTTTCCCTTCCATTTTAATTTAACTGGCAAAATTTTGATTATGATTGAACTTAGCTCCCCACCTTCCTGGTACCTGTGCCTGAGCAGAAGCTTGTTAATAGAAGAAAAGGTAACGGGAGGCTGGTTTCACTTTAAGTTTATAACTGCAAGCCTCACGTTCACTCTGCTGCTTGGCATTCCTGCTACATTTCTCCAGTAAGCTCCCATTTTCCTTGCTCAAAGACAAATATTTTTTTGTGTTAAGCTTTCATTTTGAGCCTCCCAGAGTTGTCTCTCCTGCTTTCTGCATGGCCCCATGAGAAAATGGAAGAGTGCTTTTTTCATAGTAGTTTCTCAGGAGATATTTGTTGAATGAATGGGTTACTATCTTGGAGGAAGATTTCTTCAGAGGGCTGATCTATCAGGCAAAGCACGGGGTCTCAAAAGTGCCACCACTACTTGTTTGACCTTGAGAAAACCACTTAACTGCTCAGACCTTCATTCTCTGTCCATGAGTGGGTATATTAGTAACCGTTCGCCTTCCTTCCAGGTTATTTTGAGATGCAGATAACTCAATTTTATCTTTGTGCTTTGGGCATTTTTGCTGCTGTACATGTGTCCATCATTTTAGTAAGACGAGTCCTAATGTTTTTAATTGTGGTGTGTGGTCCCTCCTAAGGGATTTTTTGAAGTTGGATGTTAGGTTCAATGGAAAGAAGTTGGACTCTGGAATCAGGTCTACTTACTCTTCATATCTCTGCTGCTCAGCCAATTGACCTCAGGTGGCCGGTCATGAACGAGTGAGGAAATATATCTATTAATCTGAGGTGTTGATTCATTTGTTAAGAAAGGATAATAATAGTAGTTGATCCATAGAAGTGTAAGCCTCAAGTGGGATAATAATATGCATAAAAACGATTTCTAGATTATAATACTGTGTGTACTATGGTTCATACATGTTGGGAGGGTAGAGGAGAAGGGTGGTTTGTCTTATTTTAGGTCCAAAACAATTGAGGTTCTGTAAGCATGAACATCTGAAATTCAACTATGCCCAGCATATTAGAGAGGCAAGAATGTCTTTTTTTTTCCTTTTGCATGTATTTTGGAAGAGATTAGTTTAAAAATTTTTTAATGTTTTATTTATGTATTTTTATTAAATTTTTTAAAATATTTAATATCCATGAACAGGGGAGGGGCAGAGAGGGAGACACAGAATCCAAAGCAGGCTCTAGGCTGAGGTGTCAGCACAGAGCCTGATGGCGGGCTCGAGCTCAACTGTGAGATCATGACCTGAGCTGAAATCCGATGCTCAACCGACTGAGCCACCCAGGCGCCCTTGAAGAGATTAGTTTTAAGGTGACATTCACTGACCTTGAAACATCATATGGAGATGTTGCTTCTTGGTCATTACCATTTGTGGGTACCATGACCAAGACGTTGATCTTTTGTTTCTCAGTAAATCGATTTTTTGAAGCAAGCCTGACATACCATTCATTAATAATACATGAAGAAGAAACTTGTTTGAATTGGAAGATTTAAAAACCCAGTAATGGTAGTGTTGTTACTAATTCTTTTATTGAGACAGACTAGACTTTTCTCCTTTGTTATATCTTGGTCACAGTTCCCCGCTTCAGAATTCAAATGACTTGGATGAACCGAGAGGCAGAGGCATTCACATTAGGCCACAAAGCCCTAGACTTTTCTTAGGTTCCTAATAACCACATGCTTTGTTCTTTTGACTGAAGCTTGTAGATGGTCAGATTTTGTGAGCTCAGAGTGTTGAGCTGCAAAGTTCGAAATAGGCCGAGGCTTCCTAGTTGCTGATTATGGTGATTTTCACAATTTCTCTTTAGGGAGGAATGCTTGACCAGAGCCCAAGAACTCACTGTTCTGCCTGACTGAAGTATTTTAAAGAGCACGTCATGCTCTCTTCTTACCATTGTAATAACTTCCCTGGGACTATTGTACCCTCTCTGCCTGTTCTTTTCTTACCTACCTGATAGGTAATGTTGGACCAGGCTGAAGAGTAGGCTTGATGTAACAAGGCCCATGGCAGTTTCTGACCTTAGCCTATCCCCACCCTTTTCAAATTCTCTGGATATGTCAGTAGTCTTTTTTGCTGAGTTTAGAGGGGACTTAGCCATTCCCTTCCATCTAATGCAATAGCAAGAGCCAGTAAGTAGGCTTGAAACTTATAGGTTGTGTATGGTGAGGGTGTGACAGTGAAGCAGATGCTTCAAACCTGACTCTGAATCAACCCTCTGCCCTGGCACACGGACTCCCACAGCCACTGCCACCATCACAGCAGGGATAATGATGGTGGTTATAGAAAGGAGTCCTGGAATTTTGTATTAATCGTCAGGATTGACAATCACTGTCTTCCAGTAAACAGTTCTTTCTCTCTTAATCAGAATTTTCTCAAAGCCATACAGTTTACCTTTCACATTATTAAAAACACCCTGTACCACTTTGGACCCTTTCCAGAACCATGGGGAATCTGCAAATGGAGCCTAATGAGGCCACTGTCTTGGTTTGATTTCTGTCCAGTCTGATTATCTTTGAACAGAAAAGCTGACATGGCTGTATTCCTCTCCTAGGGCCGCCGAAACAAATTACCACAAATTGTTTTGTTGGCTTAAAACAACAGAAAGGTGTTCTCTCACAGTTCTGGAGGCCAGAAATCAGAAATGTGCCAGCAGGTTGGGTCCTTCTGGAGGCTCTGAGGGAGCATTTCTCTCAATGCCTGTCCCTGAGCTTTTGGTGGCTGTCAGCTATCTTTGGCTTTGGACACATCACTGCAGTCCCTGCCTCCATCTTCTCGTGGCCTTCTTGGTGTGTTCTCTTGCCCTAGTACAGACCTTTGTCATTAGGTTTAGGGCCCACCGAGGTAATTCCAGGATAATCCCATCTCAAGATCCTTAACTAAATTACATCTGCAAAGACTCTTCTTCAAAATAAGGTCCCATTCACAGGTTCTAGATGAATATATCTGGGTGGGGGGAGGGGTGGGCACTGTTCAGTCCACTCTAGGGGCTATAGCAGGCTCCTCTGACATCCCTGCCAGATTTGTTGCTGCTGCTTGTTACTGCTTGAAAGAGAGAATGGCAGAGGCGCCTGGGTGGCTTAGTCAGTTAAGCGTCCGACTTCTGCTCAGGTCATGAGCAGGGTTCATGAGTTCCAGCCTCACATCAGGCTCCGAGCTGTCAGCACAGATTCTGTGTCTGCTTTGGATTTTGTGTCTCCCTCTCTCTCTGCCCCTCCCCCACTCACTCTGTCTGTCTCTCAAAAATAAACATTAAAAAAGTTAAAAAAAAAAAAAAAAAGGCAGAGTGACATCAGTTCTTCCTCATCCCAGCTCTACTAATAGAGAATAGTGCAGAACACAATCATTTGACAAGAGTAACAATTGTCTCTTTGATTGAATTATTCTGTGTTTAGGTGTTATGTGTAGAAATCTTTTCCCATATTCCTAAATTCCTACGTCTTTCTCCTCTCTTAAAGAGAATAAATAAGACAAGATCCTATTTTGCCTGGGCCCAAAGTTGTAGAATCATACCTAGTCTTTTTTTTTTTTTTTTTAATTTATTTCTAGGAGAGAGAGAGACAGCGTGAGCAGGGGAGGGTCAGAGAGAGAGGGAGTCACAGACTGAAACAGGCTCCAGGCTCTGAGCTGGCAGTCAGCACAGAGCCTGACGCGGGGCTCGAACCCACGAACCGCGAGATCATGACCTAAGCGAAAGTTGGACGCTTAACCGACTAAGCCACCCAGGCGCCCCGATTCATAACTAGTCTTGAGTAAATCAATAGTGTGTTACGTTTTGTAGACAGGACAAAAACAATTGTACTTCACTTCCAGATACAGCTTTTTCTTACAGAGTTGGAAACTCTCTCTAGTTTGACATGTATGTGGTTTTGTATTGAGCATTGCATAATTCTGTGAACTTAAAAAGGTACGAAGTTAATACCGCCTTGTGGTCATAAACCCCTTCTTTTCCTTCTTTTTCACATTTTCTGAATCCATTATGTGGATGTGTGGATTATAGGTACTGTACTGAGCTGGTAATATTAAGTAATGAAAAATGAATGTGTTGCTAGGCTCAACTACTTGTTTGTAGGGTAGTAAACTGCTTCTAAATCCATTTCTGCAGCATCTTCATGTTTTTATCTAGAGTTTTCTAGGTTCCTAGGTTTCGTGTGGAGATAGTTTATCATCACATATAAAGAAAAGTTGAGCTATGGAAACCAACTTGACAATAAACAAAAACAAAAATAAAATAAAAGTTTTATATATAAAAAAAGTTTAGCTTGCAAAACCGCTTTAATGATAGGTGTTATTTCTACTTTGTTCCTCCTGTAGATTCTAAATTCTGTTTATATTTTTCTCTTTGCAGATTTAACCCAGAGACTGACTTCACCATCGAAACACCCATAGTTATATCAATGATTGAGGCAAGATAGTGGCAGCAGGCAAAGGAAAAACAGCTCTGACATCCTAAAGACCATGAGTATGCTAAAACCAAGTGGGCTTAAGGCCCCTACCAAAATCCTTAAGCCTGGAAGCACATCCTTGAAGACACCTGCTGCTGGTAAGGCTTTCTGTTTTCCCTTAGTAGAAATCCATTCAAATCCTATTTGAAAACTTTAAAAAGACAGCCTTAAAAAACTTCATATTCTTGAAAATATTTGAAAAAGTGTTTTTTTAAATATTTCACACTTTTATTTTTTTTTAATTTTTTTTTAATGTTTTTTATTTATTTCTAGGAGAGAGAGAGACAGCGTGAGCAGGGGAGGGTCAGAGAGAGAGGGAAATACAGACTCTGAAACAGGCTCCAGGCTCTGAGCTGGCAGTCAGCACAGAGCCCGACGCGGGGCTCGAACCCACGAACCGTGAGATCATGACCTGAGCCGAAGTCGGACGCTTAACCGACTAAGCCACCCGGGCGCCCCATTTGAAAAAGTTTTAATTAAAAGACATGGAATTTTATACCTAAAAATCTTTAAAAAATTTTTTTTTAAATGTTTGTTTTTGAGAGAGAAAGAGCTTGAGCCAGGAAGGAGCAGAGAGAGAGGGAGACACAGATTCTGAACCAGGCTTCAGACTCTGAGCTGTCAGCTCAGAGCCCGACTCGGGGCTCAAACTCACAAACCTTGAGGTCATGACCTGAGCCAAAGTCGGATGCTTAACTGACTGAGCCATCCAGGCGCCCCTATATCTAAATATCTTAATGAAGAGTTTACTCTTCTTGTAGGTTGTCTTTTTTTTTTTTTTTTTTTTTAAAGTTTATTTAGGGTCGTCTGGGTGGCTCAGTTGGTTAAGTGTCTGATGAGACTCTTGGTTTTGGCTCAGGTCATGATTTCGCGGTTCGTGAGTTTGAACCCCACATCTGTGCTGCCAGCACAGAGCCTGCTTGGGATCCTCTCTCTCTGCCTCTCCCCTGTTTGCTCTCTTTATTTTTCAAAATGAATAAATAAATTAAAAAGAAAATAAACTTTATTTAGTGCAAGGTGATAAAAAGTCAAGTGACTTTAGTATTTAATCCTTACAGTGTTAAGATATAGTACTTTGTTTTTCTCCCTATGTCATCTTGAACTCATGGGCCTTTCTCCTTGGGGTTTAGGGATGTTTAGAGAAACCAAAGACGAGTCTGGTTTAAAAGATTTGATGAGACTAATTGATCTGAAGTTTGCCATTGGTTTTAAGGGAACAGATAGTACAGTCTAGTACAATCTAGCTCATGTAGGAAACCATCCCATTTCATAGATGAACCCATGCTCTTGATTATCTTCATTCTCTTCCTCATCTGCTCTCCATCTCCTCCTCTACCATTTCAATTTACATCCCATAATGGCCACATCCCATAATGGCCATCAAAGGTCTTTAATTTAAAGAGAGAGACAGGAGAGGGCATCTGATGCTTGCTTTTATGGTCTTATAATGTGGTTTATACACTATTAGATAGGTTATCAGCCATACCAGACAGTCAGAAGTCCACCATAAAATATTAGGTCCAACCTTGTTTCTTTTAAGTTTTTCCATAAAACCTCATTGATCTGTCATGAGGGCAGGGATCTTTGTGGGGTTTTTTTCACTCCCCAAATCCACCCACATACTTAGAACACTGCCTGGCTCATAACAGAAGCTCATTAAATATTTGTTGACTGAATGAGGGTCCCAAATTATTTACATTTTGTGTATTGAGGATAAACCTGGGTTTTTATCAGAGACACCATGAAACATCTTAGATGAGAGGCAAGCTTTACTTTGACATCTCCTATTCTCCTTTCTCCCAAAATCCTTCCTCTCTTTAGGACTCCTTCCTAGAGCCCTTCCATGGTTATACTCACCCCTGTTTTAGAATTGTCTTTTTCACTTTTAGCATTTTTTATGCACACTCCTTAGCATATAAAGGCCTTGGGTGCAGGGGATCAGGAGAAATTCAGCTTTGTGTCCTCAACAGTACTTGGCACACACTAGATTTTTAAGAGTCAAGCAGCCTGTAAACACTAAAATTTAATATGCTTAAAAGGAAATAATTGCCAGTTGGAGCACTTTTATCAAGACTGTTTTTCAGAAACTCATGCTTGCAGCACCCTGTGAGGAAGAATCGTTCATGTACAAAGCTGGAATAGATTCTAAAAACCTGACTGAGCTGGCTTGTCTTTGGTGATGATTATCTCTTTGATCTGAGAGCATCTACTGTCTTCTAAAAACAATAACAACACAAGCCTTTCGTAAATCAAAACTCCACATTCCCTCTTCAGTGTAGGATAAAGGAATGTTCACCCTCCTTAGGCCATCCAGATAGCTCTGTTCCTTCATCTGTGCTTGGTTTAGTCTGTTGATCAGGCCTCAGGCCAGATGTTATTTCCTCCAGGAGGCCTTCTGTAACTGCTCTGCCCAAAGGCACCATCTCCTCCACAGCACTTTCATAACCTGAAATCACCTGGTGTTTCTCTTGACTGTCTGTGTCCCCATGTCTAGACTCTGTGCTCTGTAATGGCATGGGCTATGCTGTCCCCAGGTGAAGAACAATGCCTGGTATTAGGTGCTGGAGTGGTAGAAACTCAGAGAGGGATCATGAATAAATACGTTATTTCATTTAATCTTTATTTTTATTTTATTAGTTTTTTTTTTTTTTAAGTTTATTTATTTTGGAAGGAAGGGAATGGCAGAGAAAGAGAGAATCCCAAGTAGGCTCCACAGTTACTGCAGAGCCCAATGTGGGGCTTGAACTTGTGAACTACAAGACCATGACCTGAGCCAAAGGTGGACTCTAACTGATTGAGCCACCTAGGTACCCCTTATTCTATTACTTTCTTAAAGCTTATTTATTTTGAGAGAGAGCCAGTGTGTGCATGCAAGCGGGAGAAGGAGGGAGGGAAGGAGAGAGAGACAGAGACCTAGAATCCTAAGCAGTTTCTGCACTGTCACGGAACCTGAGACAGGGTTGGGTCCCACAAACCGTGAGATCATGACCTGAGCCAAAATCAAGAGTTGGATGCTTAACCAGCTGAGCCACCCAGGCGCGCCTAAAACTCTTTAGACACTACTTTCTCCTTACAGATGAAGACATTGAACCCAGAGATCATGTAACATCCTAAGATTGCAATATGCCTAGTAAATGGTAATGTGCTTAAGGAGCCACCTGGGTGGCTCATTCAGTTAAGGATCCAACTCTTGGTTTCTGCTCAGATCATGATCTCATAGTTTCATGAGTTCAAGCCCCATGTCAGACTCTGTGCTGACAGTGTGGAGCTTTCTTGGGACTCTGTCTTCCTCTCTCTCTCTGCCCCCTCTCTGCTGGCGCTGTCTCTGTCTCTGTCTCTCTCAAAATAAAATAAACTTAAAAAAATGGTAGAGTGGTTAAGAATGTGGACTTGGCCAGTTCATACCAAATATTTAATGAATGCTTGCTGGATGAATGCTTGAATTTCCAGTGTACATATCACATTTCTGGCAAAATTTAACTTAATGTTTTTACCAGAGGGTAGAGATTACAAAGTCATCTTGCCTTAGCGGGGCATTTGGCCAGGTGCTGCCTTTTTCCCCTTGTGATTTCCACATCGCTACCAGCAAAGGAGTAGAGTTTATCTGGTGGTCTTGGAGTGTGATGGCAGGGCTGCAGCACTGTGTCCCCTCCTTCTTCAAGCCTGATTGGGAATCTCTGGTTCCAAGGTCCTGGACTTGTCAGCCTTTCCTGACTGCTCCCACGTGGGAGTAGCGCCTGTCTCCAGGGATCCTAATGGGTGTTGGCTCATGATGTGCAGGGCAGGGAGGTGGAGGAAAAGATGAAATCAAACCTGTCTTATGATCTATGGGAAAGGGACATTTTCCCCCCTTGCTTGGACTTTTTCCAGTCATAATTACTGATAAGGATTGATCACAACAGCTCACTGAGTTTCGACAGCATTGAAAATGGTAGTGATGGGTCAAGTACTTTTTCTTTCGCTTGTTTAGTTGATTTAAGTAATCTCTACACCCAACGTGGGGCTTGAACTCACAACCCCGAGATCAAGTGTCGCACACTCCACTCACTCAGCCAGCCAGGTGCTTCAGTGAGTCAAGTACTTTTTGCCTCCTTGTTAACAACAACAACAAAGACCACACATCTTAGAGAAGCTTTAGACTTTCTCTAGTTTATTTTCTTTTAAGGTAGGAAGGAGTTGTCTGCTCGAATATGAAAGTGAGTCTTCTCTGACCCTTTCTTCTGTTTGTAGTTGTAGCTCCAGTGGAAAGAACAACATCCAGTGAAAAAGCATCAAGCGCACCATCTTCTGAGGCACAAGAGGAATTTGTGGATGACTTTCGAGTTGGGGAGAGAGTTTGGGTGAATGGGAATAAGCCTGGATTCATCCAATTTCTGGGAGAAACCCAGTTTGCACCAGGCCAGTGGGCCGGGATTGTTTTGGATGAACCCATAGGCAAGAATGACGGGTCGGTGGCAGGAGTTCGGTACTTCCAGTGTGAGCCTCTGAAGGGCATATTCACTCGCCCGTCGAAGTTGACAAGGAAGGTGCAGGGAGAAGATGAAGCTAACGGCCTGCAGACAACTCCTGCTTCCAGAGCAACTTCGCCTCTGTCCACCTCAACAGCTGGCATGGTGGCCTCGTCCCCAGCAGCCCCTTCAAATATCCCCCATAAATCGTCCCAGCCAACAGCAAAGGAACCTTCAGCTACGTCTCAGATCAGCAACCTTACAAAAACTGCCAGTGAATCTATCTCTAACCTCTCAGAGGCTGGTTCAATCAAGAAAGGAGAAAGAGAGCTCAAAATTGGAGACAGAGTATTGGTGAGTCCAAGACCTTTCTGAGGTCATTTTGTTGAACTGAGACTACTTACTGATGAATGGTTGAAATGCACACAGACAGGCTTAGGGTCTATTCTAGAGGGAGGACCACTCATTTATAGAGAAATTCGTCAACTTTTCTAATTGTTAGGTTTGTGTGTGAAAATGCAGCAAATTAGTAACTGGCTATATAGTATGAGCATAAGTTTGCAATGGTTAGTTTGAGTTTTATCTACCAGTTTAACCAAAAGAATATGGAATTTATAATTTGTAATTATTACTTGACAAAACAAGCTCAGAAGTGGACTTGAATGAGTTTATAAAAGTTTTTTTCGGGGGGCTCCTGGATGGCTCAGTCGGTAGGGCGTCCGACTTCGGCTCAGGTCATGATCTCACAGTTTGTGGGTTCGAGCCCCACGTAGGGCTCTGTGCTGACAGCTAGCTCAGAGCCTGGAGCCTGCTTCAGATTCTGT